ATATATATATATATATATATATATATATATATACATAAATCCACCACACAAAATTGGTAAAGTTTATATCTCAAAATGATTGCAAAACTACGGCGAAGCTTACAGTTCTGCAACCGGACCAACTCGAGCAGGAATCATTTGCAATTTCCAATGCCATAAATCTTCCTCTACCATATAGCACCATTCAGCCCCACTCATCATTCAGAGCCAAACAAAGCACTGTTGACGACTCTTTCTCCTGAGAATGTCCTGAAGACAGCGTCGGTGAGGGCGGATTAAAACAAGACGAAAGGAATCCGTGGGACCAGAGGTATTAAATTTACGTAGGCAATGAGGAGGAGAACATCGAAAGAAGAGCAGGAGAGAAAGACAGTGATGGCTGGTTGTGTTCAGTACGTTTTGGTTTGCTTAGCTCACACTCCCTCCACCATAATGGTGCAGGTTCTGTTTCCATCACACAGGCGCAGACACACATACAAACGCAGACACACATATATTTATACGTACAAACACTCAAATTCATATATAAATATAAACACGACAAATACGGCAAATAATTGGACGATGATGATGATACACTGAGAAGTCGGGGTCGAATATTAATTAAAACTCAGTAAAATTTTCAATAACTCGCAACTGCTATCTGTAGAGGACAATGTACTCAATTTCAGCTTCACTAGTTATTACACATAGTTTCGTCAATTCAATCAACAGTTTGGTCTTCAACACGTCCGGAACTCTTTCGATCAATGCAACAATAACGGAAACAGAAAACAAGATCAGCAAGGTCAACTAGCGTCAAAATAAATTAGAAATTCAAGAACACACGTACACACAAACATATTTACATAAAGCTATGTGCCTGAACTTGTGAAACAAATACAAGTTATACTGTGATAAGTTTCATGATCGCAGATGCCAGTATTTCAAATATGAAATAAAACATCAAACAGCAACCTTACACATTTGTGCAAGTAAAATTCGGATATCCATAAAAATGTATTAACACCTTTAGCGTTTAAAACTAAGCCAAACAAAATCTGATCAATAAATCGAAAATTTTTTTTTCATCTCCTCCTTATTCTTTCAAAAAGAACGGCAAAAACATCAAACACCGAATCGATATAAAGCAGGAAAAACAGCAAGCAAACATAAACAAAAAACTTATAATTTCTTGATTTTAACACCTACAACACCCGCTTTCAATCACTAAAGGAATCAGGTATGTTTTTTCTTCACCGCTTTTCCGTTGTTTTATGCAATAAAACTTTTAAACCATATTGGCAAATAACTCTGAAGCAAAAAAAAT